GGAATTGGAGGAGCTCCCCTAAAGAGGCTAAAAAATAGTAAATTTCTACTTAAGATTAGATCTTTAATAAGTGGAAAATAATGTAGATACTTGTGTGATATTTTTTGATGGAAAAGGTTTAGGTTAGTTCCTAGGATTTAGGATAGACTTATCCATTCTTAAAGGTATGTATTTATAAGCCCAACCATTATCTCTCTAGACAATTCAAATTTCCTCTTATTTTAGTTATATTTTCCATTAGGTTTATATACAATCTCATCCCAAAACTCCCCTTTTAAACCGCTCCTGTTCTGGCCTTCTGCATTGTGGTCGAAATGAGAATGCAGTGTAAATGTCATAACATTTTAGTTGGTAATCAGCAAGTGCCCTCCGGATTCTCTTCACTCCTATCCCTTTGGCAATGCCAGACAGCTCTGTTTCTTTATTCTCCTCACTTTGGGATTCGGGATGATGAGGACCAGCCACGTTCCGATTTGCTCGCTTAGCACATTGTTGATGATCTAGAGCAGACGAACATCGGATCGGGATGGAGAGCTGGGGATAGTGTAGCAGCAGCTAGGACATATAATGGGGATTCAGTTTCGGGTTCGGGTTGGAGGCTGGGAAATCGGCATCATCTTTTGGGCTTGAAATTTCTAAATGATTCAAAAATCTTAAGTAATTACGAGAATGCATTATGATGATGCGAAATTTACGACTCCGTCTGGTATGCCCTGGTCCCTGGATTGCGGATAGAAGTCTAGGGAGTCTGTCGAGGGGATCGCAGATCGAGAGGCGAAGAAAGATATAGAAGGCCTGTGTGCCGGATCGGTGGCGGTGTGTGCGATGCATTCAATGCAAATAAATTATGCTACGCTTTATGCAAAATTATTTAATCTTTTGTTCGTCGCGTCTGCTGGGGGACACAGCTAAGAGGGGGGGAAGCTGCGCGGCATGCATGCAAGTCCCCCCCTCCGCCGAGCAATTGTTTTGCCATAAAAATATGAGACCCGGCGGCATCGTCTGCCCGAGATAATTAGTTGCCATTATTACACGCGATGGCATAGAATAATTGTGAATTATGTTTCTCTTTCGCAGTCTCTCGATCTCGGGGAAAATAAGATTGGCGCGAGACTGAGGGGAAAATAAGATTGGCGCGAGACTGAGGCAGTGGGATTAACGGCACATTTAACCGAAAATGCACAGAAATTAGCGCCCGTCGTGAATGCATTTCGCCCTATAACTTTGTATTTCATCTCGCATTGCAGCTCACTCTCAATCCAAATCTGTTTGCAAAAAGCCGCCTTCGACGGGCGACAAGCTGCCGCCGGCATCATCACCTCGTCCTGTGTCCCAGAGCTCTGAAGTTCCTTCGAGGGCGACACCAGTCAAGGAAGAGCAACCCGATCAGGATCATCTAACTCTGGAGGAGGGAGCATCATCGGCTGGCGAAGGTTCGACACCAGGTGGTGCTCCTAGTGGTGGTGCCTCTAGCTATCCCCAAGAAGCCGGCGATGCCGAGCAATCGCTGATGAAGATGCAGCTCCGTAAGTGATACATCTCGTTTTCCCCTCTGGATGTGCCTGACTGTCCTCCCATTAGATGCCCATCGCTTCCCGGCCAGTCCACTTGATTTTCAACAGGCTCTGATGTCCGCCGGTCCTCCGAGCTCCAGTCTGGATCCGCCGGTGAATAATAAGCACTTTTGCCACGTCTGCCGGCGGAACTTTAGTTCCAGTTCTGCCCTCCAAATCCATATGCGAACCCACACGGGTGACAAGCCCTTCCAGTGCAATGTGTGCCAGAAGGCCTTCACCACCAAGGGGAATCTCAAGGTGGGCTTAGAGAGGGTCCTTGTTTAGTTTTAGCACTTTATTAATCTTATTTCCCCCCGAAATGTGTTCAATATTGCTCCCACTCAGGTACACATGGGTACGCACATGTGGACGAATCCCACTTCGCGGCGAGGACGTCGTATGTCCTTGGAGCTCCCATGCGTCCTGGTCCCAATCAGGGAACTGGACATCCAGGATCGAGTGCGGAGCAGGAGTTTATGCAGCGAAGACCGGAGCTTTTCTTTCCCTACCTGCCGCCTTTCTTTAATGGATTGCCACCAAAGGTGAGTTAGCACTTAAGATTCTTGGGATATATAATAATTCTAAGCTTGTGAAATATAAATAAATATGTTTAAGGAGTTATGTTATTATATCCTTTGGGGGTATTATAATTTCAGTCAGAAGTTTGTTAAGCAGTGAAGGAATAATTTCCGACCCTGTAAATCATATATATTATTGATCAGAATTAACTGGGAAAACGATGTAGACAAGTCCGGTAGAAAAATAAATTTTGAAATTTTTTCGATTTTTGCAAAAAATTATAAGGGGTTACATCATTAAAATGATCAAAAATTGACAAAATGTAGAATTTTTTAAAATCTTAAATTGAGTATGCAGATTTGTTAACCTATAAATAACTAGTATAAAAACGCTTTCCGAATTGAATTTAATGAATTTTTGGCTTGGTTTTCAGAGATTTAGAACCGACCTCCTGATACAATTTCATTCTGTAAGGACATAGAAACTTCGGCTTTCCGAATTTAAAAACCTTTCTTGTCTTTAATTTGGTTTTTCTGTTAAATGGTTAACTCTTTTGACTCTTCATAAGCCCTTGCTTCTTTATTTAAACATTTTTATAGCCTGGTGAACTGAGTCCCGGCGCCTTTCCAACATCCCTCCGCCGCCTTTTGCCAATGGAGGAAAGTATCCCTATCCACCAGGACTTCTTGGTTTCCCAGGCTTCCTGGGACAGCATCCATATGGCATGGATCGCAGGAGCAGCAGCAAGTCACCCACACCAGAGCCGGCCCAGAGTCCCTCCCTGAGGGAGGAGGAAATGGGAGCCGGCAGCATTTGGCATCCGCTGAGCAGGATCAAGGTGGAGGGCAACCAGGGCGAGGCTCTGCTCCACGAGCAGGATGACCAGGCGGAGGCTGAGACAGAGGCCACCGGTGGGGGAGACATGGAGGAGTCAGAGTCAAGAGATGCAGAGAAGTAACTGATGGAGGAACAGTCTTAGATCGAGTCTTAGTCTTGGAACACACATGGTTTTTGTGGAGTACATATCTTGAGCATAACCCATACGCTAAGCTTCAACTAGCACTGACACACACACCCACACACACTCAATGCAAACACGAATCCTTACACACACACACATATACGAATATATCCTTTGTGTCTATATATATATATATAAATAGTACGTAATTGATAGCGATCTTCAAGGCATTTAAATGCATTAAGTCTAGCCGGTAAGTTGTAAAAAAAGCGAGACAGGAACGCTTCTCCTCGACCTCGGATCAGGCGGGCTGCAAAGGTCAGAACTTAACTAATTTTATGGCTATATCTAGATAATATACTAAATACATATACAGATAAACATACACGTAATGTAAACTGTGGTAGTTGCATATAAAAAAAAAAAAATTGAAACTAAAAACCCGAAAAGAAACCCGCGACAAAAATGATCAAAAATAAAGCCGGCGTGCGAAAATGCAAATAACAAGTTGTGACTTTTTGACATTGCTCTTCCGGGAAGTGGGCAGCATTCCATTCCGTTCGAATTCGGGGGATCCCCTACACCACAATGGATTCAATAAATTCATGCAAATTGGCAGCTTCGGTAAGTGCGTCGTCGTCTCCTCTCGATCGGGCCACATGCCACGCGTAGGCCATTCATCATCCCATTCCCTCTGGGCGGAGGACGCCCTCGTCTTGCCCCAGAAGAGTACCCCATACCCATCCCATCCCATCCTCATCTCAGCAGATGTTCGCCTTTTAATTCATTTACCCAGACGAATTTTTTTTGGGCGAAGAAGTGTCGCTTTTGTCTCACATCCCTCGTGGTCGCCGAACTTTTAATTATTCCCTTGTCATTTTTTGCTTTGGCGCTGCCTCTAGCCACAGCGAAGACAATGCAACAAATAATAATTTCTAGACCGCAAACAACTTGATGTCGCCGCAAATTATAAATGTTGGCCGAATATGACAGGCGTTGTCTGGCAGCGAAACAAAAGACTGTCCACTTGGACACGGATATCTTATTTGAGATTGTAAAACCACAAAGAAATTATTTCTATCTAAGTAGGAATATACATAAGTTTAAAAAGATTAATATATATAGGAGATTATAGTGAAATTTTTAATATAGTATGTCTATTGCTAGGAATTTATTTTGTCTTGCAGAGAATCTTTTCTTATTTATTTATTAAGACAGAATACCACCTTTGTTATTAGTAGTTTGTATTGGAAAGAAAGCACCTAACATTAAGACTTTTAATTACTTTAATTAATAACATTACCCCCAAGTTCCTCCTTTTCAAGGATCTTATAAGGCCAAGATCCTCAGGTTTCATTCCCCTTCAACTGCCACAAATGCAAATGTTGGCCATCAACTTGCACATAAACACCTCTAAAATATTGCAACCCTTCTCTCTCTCTGTGCTAGTGGCATGTGGCATTTGCTGGCAATTCCATTTCACATTTTCCATTTTCCACAATGTTGCGCTTTTCCCGAGAAATTTAGCTCATTTCATGGACGCACATATTTCATATGCGGCCGTAAAGTGTCTTGTGTCTTGCAAAAGGGGTGAAAAAAAGTCCGAGACTATTAACACAACTTCGGAGGCTGGAGCCATTAACTCTGCGGTGTAATCTTCATCGGCCTCCTGCATCGAAATGAGCGATGAGAAATTGTGCCATGTCTGTGTGTCGCGATTTCAAGATCAACAGACATCATTTTCACGATCATAATTCCGCCAGTTGGCAGCCGTCCGTCGGGCAACTTAATAACCTCATTTCATAGAGTCTCCTGTCCTACCTCCCGACTTGCATTTTATATTTATTTTGCGTGCAATTTGTTTGATCTGTGCGCGTAATTAACTCTGTCTGCAGGCAACGCGTCGTCCAAAAATGGTCTATGAATAATAACCCAGCCTCAGCCGGGGCAGGAATTATGATTTTTGTTTGATGGCCACCGAGGTAGGAGATACAGAGACACACTGGCATACCGTGGCGAACTTTGAAGTGTGTCTAATTGGGCGCCGCTTTTAAAGAGTGAAAATTTTGGGGGAAGTGAAAGTACCTCATCAATATATCTACATTAAACTTCATAAGGGGGATAAGTGACACACTCTAAAGAGTGCCTTTAATTGGACTAAAAGGTGGAGATAGTTGGAATGGTGTGTGTAACCCACCGTTAGTCTTTGGAAAAACCACCATGGCCATCGACAATGCAGTTTTATTGATATGAAAATGGAAATGGCAATGGTTCGTCGTAGTCGTCGTCTCTAGAGAACAAGCGGCCATCGTGTAGCGCGTTTTATGGCACCCCAAATTCCGTGCTAATTGTTGCACCGCGAACCCGAACTGGTTTTTTTTGTGGAGGTGCCTCCACATCCACATGCACATCCACATCACATCCTCCTCCACTCACCATCGAGATGCTGCTGCCATTGCAGCAGTCTCCTCCTGCTAGGGAGTAGTTGCTTCAATTTGCCTCAATTATTTCGCTTGTTTGTTTATGGAGGAATCTTTAATCTCGGCGCTGCAGCACTGGTGTCGCCGCAGCTTGACTCCTGCGGCTCCTGGAGCTTGCTCCCCATGCGTGGCAAAAGATCTAGACAACACCTTCGAGCTGAGTCTTTCCGATCCTGTCTCTGTCCCCTGTCCCTATATCTATGATCGTTTGGCGACGGACGAGGTCGGAGTGGACAAGTGTTTCGAAAAATGGATTATTCATGTTGTCCTTGCCGGGGCAATCGGCGGCTTTTGGTCTTTCCCTCGTCTCTCTCACTGTTGTCATTGTTATTGAAGTTTTGGTTTGTTTTGCGAACTGAAGATGGGTGAGACCGGTGAGGCTCCTTCAAGATGGAGTCACGATTGTGGGATGTGACTCTAGCTGAGATTTAAAGCTAAAGAAATTGAGATCTTCTTAAGGAATTTGTAAATATTATTAAGGAAAATACCCTACACTTTCTTCGATTATTCTTGTTGCTCTTTAAATATTTTCAGGGTGAGTTACACATGCTATCAGTGCCCTCTTGTGTGTTTATATTTATCTATCTAGCTAAAATATATCTGTAGCTCCAGCACGCCTCACACTATACCTGGCTGGCCCTAATAAATTTATAAAGCTTGATATTATCGCGGGCATCGTAATCGTAACTCACATCCCCCGTCCCACCTGATCGGGTTTGGGTTCCTCCGATAAAGCGGATGAGAGGCCATGGACATGGATCATTTGCATTTGAAGGAGCAATGCCACACGCACAGAATCCACATCTCAGAAGAGGTGGAGTAGGAGCATGGCCTGGGCCTTCATAATGATGATGTTCAATTGCAGCTCACGCCGAAAAGTATTCCCAGATCGATTCTAATTTCGAGGCGTTAAGGTGTGAAAATACCTACAAGGCAGGGAAAATAATGGAAATGGAAATGGAAATGGGACTACGACTGGGCATCCCTTCTCCTTCATCTGTCTGCTTGCTGAGAGACGCTGCCGAGTCTGGCTGTCATTAGCGGTATTCAAATCATAACATAAATACACTTGTCGTCTGTCGGGGGCTCTGTGGTCCCCCCATCCCTCTGCCTCCGGAGGATTATGACAGGGCCAAAAGGGGAAATCCGTCTGTCTGTGGCTGCGCCGACTGCGCCTTCATCTTCAGCAACTTGTTGGCTGCTTTTCATTTTGATAACTTGTCAAAATAGTCTGGAGCCCGCGCCGAGTGGCATGATAAATGCCGCCAGACAGCGCGGAAGCCCTGACAAAGTGTTGAATGCCAGGGCCACTTTATTATTGCCATTAAGAGGCAGTGTGTGCCGCCTTTGCCAGTTGGCTTTACGACCCGACTCTGGGGGGTGGGACAAGCAACTTTGGTGGCATAAACTTGTCAGGCAACGTCATAAAACCGACCCACCCACCTCGACCTTAGTTACCCCCAAAGAATATCGAACTGCTATCCAAGTTCTTCTCCAACTCCCAGGTAAATCCCTTATGGAACAGAGGCACTAAATATTGTTGTAATATTTGCCAAAATTATTTGCCGGTCAGCGGTTATCGATTGCCCCAAAAGCAATGCCAAGGTCTGCACTTTCAGAAATTGTGAGTCAGAATCTATTAAAAGAAAATTGTTTAAAATGATGTAATCGTTGCATTAGAGTTTATGTTTTATAAATTAACTTAAGATATTCGAACTAAACCATTTTAGAAAGAGTAGTTACCATATATCCTTTGCTATGTCAGAATAAGTTTATAGTTGCTTAACATATTATTATGTGGATTAGAAGAAAGAAGAAACGATGCTGTCTAATAATAAATCATGCTTCATATATATCTCCCAAATTATAATAAGAAAGAATGTGATTCTATATTGATACATTTCTCATATGTCTTGGGGTTAGGAAAACCTCCCAAATATTTTCCAGTGCTTTCCTGGTTAATCCAGTGCCTGCCTTGGACCTTCGGCACTTACCTTAATGCGGGACTGATTGGAATATGATATTGGAGTCTGGTTTTATGGCAGTTCGACTCGAATTTATGTACAAGTCGATTTTTGGCCTCTGAACTCCCAGGGGGAGGTGAGTCCCATCTTCCTGCCTTCGGGTTGAATTAATAAAGTTCTCTCGTGCCGCTTCCTTCGACGCTGCTGCGGGACATGGCTTAATTTGTTAGACGTTATGCTTCCGCTTAAAGCCAACTGCCGCCGACTGGCGGCGAGTGCAACAAAATGCATTTCTAGTTGCAACTGCAACTTGTTTTGGGATCTCGGATGGGGAAGAAGACGTGGGGCAGTGACTGGGGCTAGGACTAGAACCTGGGGCTGGGCCACGGTCACGTGCAGCGTGCAATAAGCTAAACATATTCGCATGTTGTCCGATCCACAGAGCTGTGCGTTATCGATACTAGCGTGGCCTTGACGACCGACAGGAAAACATCGATATGTGTTCGAAGAGGTACTATCTTGTGGGTTAATACGTTATGTGGAACGGGGAATT